AAAGGTGAAAACGACGTGCAAGTCGTACCTCTCGGACAAGCACGGCAGAATGGTTATCAGGGAGGACCATTTTCTCGAGCTTGCTTCCGATATCGAGAACTGCATCCGTCTGCTCGAGTGGAAGCACGTGGGTCCGCACCATTTCTTGGTGATGGAAAGGCCGGTGAATTGTTCGGACCTGCATCAGGTGATAGAGGAATTCGGCATATTGGCCGAGAACAGAATACGCCGCATCTTCCGGCAGACGGTTCGGGCGTGCATCGCATGCACCGAAAAGAGATTCGTGCACGGTGACATCAAACCGGAAAACATCCTCGTGGACCTGGACAGATGGGACGCCAAACTCATCGACTTCGGATTCTCCCGATACTTCGACGACGATCGTCCGTTCTTTTACCTCGAAGGTACGACCGATTACCTCCCACCCGAGTGGGAACGAGAAGGCTGCGTGCGTTCCCTTCCGGCCACCGTTTGGTCGTTGGGCCTCGTCCTGTTCGAGATGTGCACGTTCGTGGACGTGAGCGCACGCAAGCCGTCCGACATCGAGAACGTCACCGACGACGTTCTTCGGTCTCTTCTGCTGTCGATTCTTGTCGAACGGTGGCAGGATAGACCGAAGTTGGGAGAGGTGTACGCGCACGAATGGTTACAGTATAAAAAGGACGAAACAGAAAATTGTTGATGACAACGACAATCATGATCGTCTTTGGACATTGCAACGAACTACCTCTTGAGTACAGCGTTATTTCTGGTCTCAGCGACAATATCTCGCTGGCCATGCACAAGTTGACCCGTAGACCTGTCTCTTATACACATCTAGATGTGTATAAGAGACAGGATCAGAGACAGCAGGTGTTCTTTGTTCCTTTTGCTCTCTTCTTTGTTGCTGCACATCCATCGGTGAACCAACGACCAAAGTATCTCTTCCGAAGCGAAGTATATACGACGACGAATGCTATATGATAGTCATGGAGCGCCCTGAACTTTGCTGCAGTCTACGGGAACTGTTGGAGGTAAAAGACGCGTTATCACCGGCCAAAGCTCGGACGATTTTCGGTCAGGTTGTGAGTACGTGCATCGGATGCAAAGAAAACGGTTTCTTTCATAATGACATCAACGTCGACCACGTCATCGTCGACATAATTACGGACGAGATTAAGCTTGTGGGATTCGGGTCGGCTGTGGAGACGGGTGGTGGTGGTGGTGGTGGTGGTGGCGAACTGGAACTGGAAAGGAACTGCGTACGATCGCTGGGTGCACTTCTCGCAACGATGGACGCTTC